CTATTGTTGTGCCATAGCCAGGCACTTCTTCAATTCCTCCCACGTCTGCTATCCATGTGTGTAAATGCTTTCAAATCTCCTGTCAATTTATAGCAACCCCATGAATTGCACAAGCTTCTCTTACGTAAGGCATCTTCAGAGGTGGTTTCTTTTTCTGAAACATAGCCTACAGCACCTGCGATTCATGGGCAGTCTGCCATCCGAGTCCTAACCATGGCTGGCCCTGCTCATCTTCCAAGAGCCAACGGGATCTGGTGCCTTTAGGTTATTTAGGCCACTAGCCACAAAATGGCATTTTGGGGCAGCAAAATCACGAGTTGTGGAGGTAGCAATGACATGGCTTCATCTACAAGATTCATACACCACCCTGGCAATGTGTGATCTCAGCAAACCTCCATCTTCCTTCCCTCCGTATCACTGCTGAGTGATCTTGGCAAATGTGCCACCGCTAGCATAGAGTACCAACAGTATCCCATCCTTTGTGTGCATGCAGCATGCTTCTCTCCCTTTGAGCCATTCCCTCCTACCTCCTGCTTTCAGGATCTATTTCCTTCAAGCTGCGAAGGGTGAAAAATGGTCCTTGGTGCTGCATGGAAGCTATCTGCCTGTTTTGTAATGGATTTTGAAAGAGCTATGAGTTGCTTTTAAAAAGGAGTTTGGTGCAGTGCTTCAGTTGCAGTGGCTACATATAAAAGATGCATAAACCACTGGTTCTGTGGATTTGCAAAGTGGGTCTGAAGAACATTAGCTAAGAGTCTGTAGAGTCTGAGGTATATAAACCTGTTGGTGAGCTGTTGTGCCAAATTACCCATGATGTCAGAGATCCTTGAAGAATGATTTCTGTCTTTTTAAAGAAGCGTTGCTAGAATATGGTTTGGCTGGGTTACTTTTTCTTTACTATTTTTTTACCTCGTGCAGTTTTCCAGTTTTGCACACATAACATTACTATGTTCTCCCATAGGACAATGTGTAGTTATCTCATTGTTGTTAACTGCCTTTGTGTCGATCTCGATCCATGGCGATCCTATGGATGAGACACCTCCAGGCCCCCCTGTCCTTCCTGCTCTGCCCAGCTCCTGCAAATTCATATTCGTGGTCTCTTTAATAAAGTCCATCCATCTGGCATGGGGCCTTCCTCTTTTTCTACTTCCCTCCACCTTCCCCAGCATTATTGTCTTTTCCAAAGAGTCCTCTCTTCTCATGATGTGTCCAAAGTACGATAGTCTTAAGTCTTCTCATCTTGGCTTCTAGGGATATCTCTGGCTTGATCTGCTCTAGGACCCCATTGTTGGTCCTTTTGGCTGTCCATGGGATCCTCAGCATTATTCTCTAGCACCATATCTCAAATGCATTTATTTTATCTACCTTTTTCATTGTCCAGCTTTCACATCCATCCATGGGAATAGGGAATACAATGGCTTGTATGATTCTGACTTTTGTGTTGAGTTGCATGTCTTTGCATTTTAGAATCTTTTCTAGTTCTTTCATAGCTACTGTCCCCATTCTTAATCTTCTTCTGAATTCCTGAGTCCCTATTTCTATCAATGTTTGATCCCAGGTATGAGAACTCTTTTACTATTTCTGTTTCCTCATTGTCTAGGTTGAACTTGTGAAGGTCCTCAGTGGTCATTATTTTTGTTTTCTTGATGTTCAACATTAAGCCTGCCTTTGCACTTTCTTCTTGGATCTTCCTTAGTAGTGTTCCAGGTCTGTGAGGTTTTCTGCTAGTACTATGGTGTCATCTGCATATCTTAGATGGTTGATATTACTTCCTCCCATTTTCATTCCTCCTCCTTCTGTGTCCAAGCCGGCTTTTCTTATAATATGTTCTGCATATAAGTTGAATAGGTAAGATGAAAGGATGCAGCCTTGTCTGACCCTTTTGCCAGTTGGGAACCATTCTGTTTCTCCATGTTCTGTCCTGACAGTAGCCTCTTGTCCTGAGTATAGATTCCTCAGTTATCTCATAGGTTTATCCAAAATATATGTTTGAGCCTCCAGTGCAAGCTGTGACTAGAGAGGGGTCTGAATTTATTTGGGTTAAACTGCATAGGGAAAAGGATTAAATCCCACCCAAAGCCCCATGGTCTTGATCTAAATTATTTCTCAAGACTGGTATTCGCAAATGGGGAAAATGTATTCATGGCTGTCTTGCAGGGCCAAACTTCCAGGGCTACATCCTGTGAAATCCTGAAGTTTGTAGTTTGGAGAGAACTAGGGCTTTCTGGCTGAGAATTCTAAATAGGCATGGCTGCCCTGAATCTGCAAGACCTGAGCAGGATGATTGAGGATAGGTTGACTTGGAGGTCTCTCATTCTTGGGATTGCACATACTCTCAGCCTCAAAGGAAGGCAATGGCAAACCTCTGAACAAATCTTGCCAAGACAACCCCATGATAGGTTCTCCATAGGGTCACCATAAGTCAGAAACAGCTTGGACACACAACACACATATACACACTAATGCAGTAGAATATTTTGAGAGAGCCAGCATAGCATAGCGGTTTGAGTGTTAGACTACAACTCTGAAGACCAGGGTTTGATTCCCACCTCGGCCATGAAACCCACTGGATGACCTTGAACAAGTCACATGCTCTCAGCCTCAAGGGAAGGCAATGGCAAACCTCCTCTGATCAAATCTTGCCAAGAGAATCCCATGACTAGGTTGACTTAGGGTTGCCACAAGTCAGAAATGACTTGAAGGCAATAATATGGAGTTTAAATTTTATTTTCTGGATTTTATGACTCTTCTTCTCCTGGAGCCCGCGTGGCCAAGGAAGAATGGCCTCTATCTACATAGATATCCCTCTGTACCATCTTAATTTTGTCACTTTTGTAAGTTTTTAATTGTACTGTGTTTTTAAACTGTACGCCACTTTGGTAGGGTCTCCATAAGTTGGAAACGACTTGGAGGCACACAACAACATATAAGTTATATACAATTTGTGTTAACTGAATTGTGTTTCTCTCTCTTTCTCTCTCCCACCAGCAGCTGGTCTAGGATGGCCCCGGTGGAGGCCTCTCTTGTCTCGCTCTTCCTTCTGGGGCTCATGGCAGTCCAGGCCCACACCTGTCCTTCCACCTGCCGCTGCTACAGCATGACTGTGGAGTGTGGCTCTTTGGGCCTCAAGGAGATCCCTGGAAGCATCCATCCTTCCACCCAGGTAAGCTTCAAACAGAAGGAGACCAGCTAGCTCATACTCTCTAACATTTCACAGTGCATTTCATGGACACATGTGGCCAAGCAACCTCCTAGTGTAGTCAAGAAAGCAAAAGTTATTAATGAGGAAGGACAGACAAGGTAAGAGAGGCTGCAGTGGTTTGCTTTTTCCTGAACCAACTGGGAAGGGCAAGATTCCACCTCCTCCTCTCCTCTCCCTCCAGTGAGTTGAATAAACTACTTTTGCATTTTGAACTCAGTTTGCAGCAATTGAAGCAAGTTGAGGCTGAAGGGAGACAGTGGTAGGAGGAGAGAGAAACTGGGACGTTCTAAAAGAAGCTGAAAAAGTAGGAGGACAGAGGATTAATTGGGACTGTCCCTATCAAACTGAGACAGATTGAGGATATGTTAGCTCCTAATTCTAAGCAAACCTTTGTTGGAGTAATTGTGCCTGAAACAAAAGAAGAAAATAATTCTGATTGACAAGTGACATGTATTCTGTGTGGCAACCATAGACAGCCATGAGTCATGGGCACATGGCATGAGGCAAAATTGCATCAAGCTTGCAGCATGCCGTGTTGCATGCTCAGAACCACCCTCCTATATAAGTGGACCAAGAGACTGG